GATGAATGGGATTGTACTTAAATTATAATTGCAGTATTGAGACGCGTGGGAGGCTTGATGTTGTTTTGGTCGGTGCTTAGTAAGTACTATGGAAGATTTCATATTGAGGATAAAAGTCATTGATAAAAGAATTGTATGGGATTGCATTGTTTTCATGTATAGAATATTAAATTGCATTGTTGGCCTTTTAAACCTTTAGCAATTGCTTTATTAATCTGGAGGGTTTAGTATGGTTTAGTCTTCAGCATAACCAAGCCCATGACTATGAGTATCTCTGAAATACAGCTAAAAGCACGTTTGTTTTTTGTTGTAGGCTATGGCCTGTACTGTTTCTTTAAGAAAAGCTGGAACCAAGAGTAATTGTAGTCAAACATACTAGAAAGACTAGGGTTGCCATAATAACCACCATCCAGCTTTAGTTTAATTACAAATCAGGTATTGAGGAATTCAAGAGTTGAAATCCCACCAAAAATTGTAATTCTAAGTTAGACTTGGCAAAAATAAATATTCTGCAGTTCGTCAGATTGAGCTGTGCACTTGACACACTAAATAAACATAATTTTGATGACCCCAAAAAAATCTAAACTGAAAAAAACTAATTTTGATGACCCCAAAAAAAAATCTAAACTAATTTAAATTCCCACAAAAACACCATCCATTGAAATAAACACCTCACACTTTATACCGCACAATAATCAAATTTCCTCTTCCAATAAACGCTTTAAAATATTTTATTTTTTTTCATGTGTGATTTGCTTATCAGCACAGCAAAACACATTAACATTCAAAGCTTAAAACTCAAATAAACTAAAACAAAAGCGGGTCTGACTTATTTTTATCGCACTCGACCTTCATATTTGCATGCACATAATAATGTGTGTGGAGTAAAAATAATTTCAAAAATATTGAACGAATTTGTTGTCAATTGGGATGATTATGGGAATTTTTGGCTGGTTTTAGACAAAAAATTATCATTTTTAAAAATTCAGTGATTTAATAATTTTTGACAAATTCTCCCTGCTCATCCTAAATGTCTAAAATACGACCCTACTTTTGACATTTTAAATTTTATCATAAATCATATTTTCCCAAGAATCAGTGACATTTAAGAGATTCTAAGTCCTTTTCCCTCGCAACCCCATTCCTTCTGTTGACATTTCAATCTCAATCCAAAAATCTCATTCATAAAATTTACTCGTCACACTGCGACACCTTTTCATCGAGTAAATAAATATATAAATATTTTTGTGTAAATTTAAAATGTACACGAAGAAGAAAAAGTTTGATTTATTATCTCACAATTTGACTTTAATCACATGGTTATTGATCTTTTTTTTGTGGGATGAATTCATTCATGTTCTTTCTCTCCTTTGCGTTTAAAACTGAATGTCTTAAATGTTACGAATTAAAATTCTTCGTGTAAAAATCTGCGTGTAAGCTGAGTTGTCTTGGGGGTTGTTGATAAATGATGTCAATGGGGAAAATTGATTTTAAAGTAGCTTGTCTGAAGATGTCAATTTAAGGCTCTTGTATGACAGGAAAACAATTACGAGGCTTGAGAGTTGATGTGTATTAAAGTATAACTAAGGTATCCCGGGTACCAGAAATCGAAAACTGTCTCTCTAATAAAGATACACAACTTAAAAACTCGATCGACCCTCTTAGCCAAATTAATGATTTCATCACGTTTTACATTCACAAAAAAATTTATTGGAGTAAGTCCAAAATCGTATGCACATCAACACATCCACAGAATCTTTGATTCTTACATAGAAAATATTGTTCGCACGTAGGTCGAATGAGATGAGATGAGATGGATGGATGGAGAGGAAAAGAAAATAACAAAATGTGAAATGCCTCACCTTGTCTGATTAACGTTCTATGTTTTGACGTTTCCCGAGAAATATGAATAAATCTTTCACCAACAAATTGTTTTTTAAAGTTTTTACTCTCACTGACTTTGTGTGGTGACTACTTTGTTATTTGATCATAAACATTTTATTATGTTGCGCCTTGTAATTTATTATGTTCAATATGAACTATTATGTTGAGATTCTTAAATTCTTTTCACTTTCGATGGGAAATTCACTTTTATGATTTTTGATTAACTGAGATGATGTGATGATGATTTTAGTGTTTTATGCTTTTATAAATTGAAAGAGATATTTTAATTATTGAAAATGTTGTAAGAATTTGTAAATTTTTAATGAGGATTGAATTCAAGTTGTTTGAATGTGTTTTAGTGATTTTTTTCAAATAGAAAATTTTGAAACCTTGAAGAAAATTAGAAAATTGATTTTTCAGTTTCAAAAAGATTTTTTTTTATTTTCAGTAATTATTTTTAAAGCGTTGTAGTATCGTCATTAGTTTTGGCTATTCAACTGTTAAAAATTCATAAATTGCTTCTTTTCATTTTTTCAAAAATTATTAAAAAAAAACATTTTAATTTAAAAAAATAATGTTTTTTTTTTGAATTTGAGTAAGTTCTTTTTTTGATTTTTCAAATTTCAATTATTAAATTTTCAAAAATACTTTTCAATTTTTAAAAATAATTTAAATTATTTAAAAACAATTAAAATTGCTAAAACAATATTTTGAAATTTTTTAAAAATTTCAACTTTTCTTTATTTAAACTTCTAGACCTGAGTTTTAATAATTTCAGTTCAATAATTATTTCTATCCATATTATTTCACATTCGACTCAAGTCTCAATAGTCCATTATTCAAAACAAAATAAGTGATTGAACTAAAACTACAAACAATCCTTTGTTTCAATTTACTAGCTTCACTATGATTTCATATCGCACATTAAAACTAATTTCGAATATTATTTCAAATAATTATACATTTAATAGCTTTCAATAATTCAGGAATAATTTTTCACACTTGTTGTGTTTCTGACATTTGCTACTCATTTATTTCGACTGATGGTTCATAAAATCCAGCACTAAATACTAATTATAAGCTATCGATCACTAGCAACGCAATTTCCTTTCAAACATTTTTTTCATCTCCTCATTTTTTTTAATTTGCAAATTAAACACACATTTGCGAAAAAATTAATTACATTTTCCTCAATGTTTGCATTCAAGAATTAAAAAAAAAATCACTTCATAAGGCACTCGGTACAAGAAATTGAATTTTTAAATATTTACTCTTCGAGTCACGAAATTAAAAAAATTCTAAATGCGGATGCCGCAACAACCGACTGTATTGACGGAAGAAAGTAAACTGATCGATCGTGTACAGTTAAAACAGCTGTCTGTGAATGTTTGCTCAATGTTTGACTGCGCAATGCGGATGCTAACAAGCTAGTAAAATTTTATGCTGCCATAGTTGGACAGCTGATAAGATAGAAAATTTACGAGGGTGGAAAATGTCAACTGGAGGTGATAAGCCACAACATTACCCTTCATTTAGTAAGTGTCAATGCTGTTTATTGATTATTTGGTCAATTGAATGCCGACACATCTACAACTTAGCTGATTATTCCAAAGCATAGCCTCTATAGCACTCCAATGCTTCACATCATGTACACAAAAACAAGATCGCATGCCAGCAAAACATTCAAATCGAGTCATATATCTTTAATAGGACGAAGACGTAAAAGAAAATTTATTGCCGCATAACATGAAAGTCAGGAATCTATACAGTTAATAATGTTTTTGTTTACATAAGCATCGATTGGCGCACATTGCATATTGTAATGTTTATGGTGTTCTTTTTTATAATGTTTAGATTGTACCATATGCCATGATCATCGACTAGCGATTGTACATTAATAATGATGATAATATTAAGTAAGGTAATTTGTAGAACATTTGTTATTTATTACGGATAATTTAATTTAATTCTTTTAGAACTGGAAACTTGACGTGCGTGAATGGCTTTGTTGTTGTGGTTTTTATGGAGGGTGAACTTGTCCTTTTTGGATTTATTATTTTAAATTGATGATTCAATTTTATTATTATAGCTACTAGACTTCAGAGTAATAGAATGTGTTTGGTCTTCTTGATGTCACTACTATGGCAATGCATGGAGTAAATTTGGCTTCAAGCTAGTAGCTAAGGCATAAACTTAGGTTTCTTAATGCAGGCTGCAAGAGTGCGGAACTGATGAATTACATTTTGATAATTTTTTGATCATTTCATTAGTAACGCACCCTTGGCTGTAATTCGGATAAGCTAGTCAATAATTATGATATTTCTTTAAGTATTCTCAAAGTTACAACCTAATACAAGATGCAATTTTTAAAATCTGACTAATTTCAAGTCTAAAATCAAGAAAACTCAACAATCTTCCCAAAAAAACAATCAAAATTCCCAAAACTCCAACCTTAATCCACCCAAAATGATCGATTTATAATTAAGAATATGACAATGAATAATTATTTGGTTCACATGTACAAACTCGTGTTGTATGACACAGATAAAATTGAAAATTGCTGTCAAAAATAGAAAATTCCTAGATAAAAATTCTTAATTATGAGACAATCTTATCAAAATAATTACTGATATGGAAATTTAATATTCAGGTGATTCATGTGGGCGTTGGTGGGAATGCTTTGGTGAATTTTTAATATAAATTGAGATCTAGAAAGGGAATGTGCTGATTATGACAGGGATAGAATAGATTAATACACTTTAAACCAGTAACCTAGTAGCTTTGCTATAGTAAATAACCATATAATTTGAACGAAGATCTAGCGGCTGGCCAAGAGTAGACCAGCTCACAAAAATCATATAATCCAAAAAAAATACATTCCATTAATGACAACTAAACCCATAACATCATCAACATTCAACATACAATGCTATTAAACGATTAAAATGTATGTCACTAAGTGCACACATCATAAAATTGAAAAGAATTTCTTTATTATTCAAAACTTGTGAACCATTTAACATCTACTTTAAAATTGCGTGTGTTCATTAACTAAATTGAGGTGCGTCATCATCACAATGAATTTAAATGGAAATGAGCATATGCATTGATTTACCATAATTAAGATATATCTAAAACATTTTTTATTTCTTTTCACTTTAAAATACATGACAATTTATATGATAATCCTGTGGTGGCACAAAACAAGACATCATCGTAAAATGCTTTTAAGCATAAATTTGGTTTTGGGGATGTTCTTAAATTATGTCAATTATAAAATTATTTTTTCATAAATTTAAAAAACTGAATGACATTTTAATATACTTTTAGCCCCATCAAAACAAAAATATACATCACTTATGAACGACCCCCATTTGTAAATCTTCTTCATTGCTCTGTAAAAGTCAGAACGTGTAAGAATCCAAAATTTACCTGCTTTGAATGTGTTACCTGCTGTTTTCATCATATTTGCACTCTATTGACATTTGTCATGTCTTCATTCATGTTTTGGACATTAAATGCTACTTCCAGAAAAAAAATATTCATTCATAAAATACAAAACAAATAACGAAGTCTGTTCTACTGCATATCAATATTCACACCTTGTCTGTTTTTACACCCAACCAAAATAAAGTTGCAGGAACTTTAGCACAAATAAAATAAATCTTGTCCGTAAAAATTCCCCGAAAAAATTATTTTAAAACTAGTTTGCTGAATAAACGAATAAACTTAATTTATATTTATAGAAGATGCAGAAATGTCAAAGAATAATTGCATCACACACAACTCAGTTCACTTCTCTTTCTTATAATCTTCTTTGACTGCATGCAGTGCATAATGTATTCCTTGATATGGTATAAAATTGAATTTATCAAGTATTGGAGTGTACCAAATACCACGCACTAAGGATGTCCTACAATCTTCATTCCTTAATATTTCACTCACTTCTGATGGTGTTATAAATTGGTTCCAATCGTGAGTGCCTTTTGGAAAGACTTTAAATAATACAGCTAATTCTGTTGCTATCCATGACACAATAGATCTATTAGGGGTTGTGATTATTATGCTTCCTTTTGGTTTAACACATTTTGCCATTCCAATAAGAAGTGATAATTTATCTGGAACATGCTCAACAACTTCACTGGCCACAACTGCATCAAATTTCTCAGAATTGTTTATTGCAAAGTCTTCAATAAGCTCTGGTAAATATTTAATATCAAGTGATTGTCCTTGGAGATGATCTTTAGCTACTTCAATGAGTTTTGGTGCTGGTTCCAATCCTGTCACTTTTGCCTTTAATTTAGCTAACGCTTCTGATAGAATTCCAGCTCCACATCCAACATCCAGAATTTTAAGTCCTTTCAAGACATCTGGTTTGTTCCTATCTTTAAGTTTTATCATCCCAGTGCTGATAAGACTGTCAATGATGAATGGAACTCTCAATAAATTCATGGAATGTAAGACATTACTTGCATCCCACCATTCATCAGAATTTCTTTCTAAAAGCTTTATATTTTCTTCATCCACATTTCTGTAAATAAATGGCAATAAAAATTATCAAATCTTAATTTTTCGAGAATTGTTCTTACTTCTTAGAAATATCCATTCTTAACTTATTGACTTCTTTTTTAAGACTGCTTGCCAATTTTGATATTTAATGTTTCATTTTCTTTTTGTTGTGTCTATTATAAACCAGTATAGATGTGGTCAATCGGGTCATTCATAAATGACGTCGATCTAAAACATTAAAGATGAGAAATTGATGATTTTATACAAATTTTATCAAAGTTTTACACAAGCGGAGAAATTGCATCAGTGGCTTAAATGGTAGAGCGTTGGCTTTTCGAGCCAGAGATCCTGGGTTCAATTCCAGACCAAGCCAAGTTTTAGAAGTTCTTTTTATATCATCGTTCTATTTACGAAGCTCAGGACGTGTGTTGGATGTAGTTTTGAGTTTTAACCATTATATAAAGCAACGACATATCCAAAAGAGGGACTTCATTTTGGAATAATCCCATCAAATCAAGTCATAAAGCTGATTTCAAAAATATCAAAAGATTCAGACAGTTGCACTCAAACAACTTAGACTAAACCGGTGTGAATGCAGTAAACATAAAAGAAGAATACTTACTAATGCATCTGCATCAATGAAAAACTTTTTCGGGCATCCGGAACATGTCAAAACAATTAACGCACAGTAATATTCTAACATCTGGAACTACTCAATACTTCTTCAATAATTCGATTATCTCAAATGAGTGAATTAATTGAAAAAAACGAAGTGGATTTTTTTTTGTTTCAATTTGAAATTTTTATGAGCACTGGAAGTGATTTAATGTTTTATTTTGGGAATAAATTGAAGTCGGAAGTATTGCGCAAGATGGGCAGTTGGAGAATTCTTTGAAGAATTTATTAAGAATTTTGGTCTTTGATGAGTTGCATCATTGAAGATTTTTGAGCTAGTTTATAGGATTTTGTTTGATTGATATTAAGTATCCAAAAATGCTTATCGAAATTTGATTGATTTGTAAGTTTTGTTATGAAAATCTAGAATTGTAGGTTAAGTAGTTTAAGATTTAATTAACTTCAACATCTTACAAGAGATGTAGATAGTTCAAGAGGGTCTTAAATGCACTATTCATTTTATGACGAGCAAAGAATAAAAGAAAGGGTCGACAACTAATTTTCCTTGCCTGAAAAATCAACTTAAACTTCAAATTTAAATATTTGACAATTTTTCAGGAATCACAGTCGATAACGCAGTTTCCCAATTTACCTGAAATGTTTAAAAATTGCCCCTGTCGGCTATGCAACCATCCAAAGTTGTATATATCTTAATTTCCTGAAACATCAAAGCTAAAACACCCAGAATTAAATTTTTTTGTAATCATAAAATAAATACTATATTGAAAATTTATTTCATATTCACTTTTTAATGAACTTCCATGCGTATAAAAATTCATAAGTTGTTTTCAACATGAGAACTGATTGTAATTAATAAATTATTGAATCCTTAATCAGTAGCTAAGGTTGACATTGAGACAAGGACGCAGCCAGCAAATAATTCCATTAAAAACATTTTTGGAGAAGGTCTGAACCTCATCCACATTTAGTTACGCCTCTAATTCAACCTTAGCTATTGATTTCGGGGCATAAAAATTTGTTATTTCAAAAAGAGATGAATTTAAAATTAAAATTGTTTTAGGATATTTTTTTAAATGTTTTTTGACTATTTTTTATATTGTAAAATTTTAGATTTTTCTTTTAAAATCTTGATGGATTAAAATTCTTTGTTCCTATGGCTTGCTAAAATATACTCAATTAAGCTTTCTGTTTTTTCACATATTTCTATTCATTTGAAAATCATAAAGTAGTGAATTGTCTAACAATTAAGGCTTTTTAGGCTAGCTTTTTAGATACAAACAGATTTTTTTTTCTAATAAAAATTTTCATTTTTTGAACAAAATTGATTTTATTTTTATCGTCAATCAACCCAATTTGAGTTTTATTTTCAACAACATACATAGTCCAATTAAAAAGTATTAAGTTTCATTTATTGGCATGGATTAAAGCTTTTAAGAAGTTTTTCGAAATAAATAATTCTTTACGTACATGAAAAAAATTATACATTTTTGTGAGCAACAATCCAATTGCCTTGAGTTTCATTTTTAAAGTTTTGAAAAAGCTTCAAGAAAGAACTTTCTTTTATCGTTTTGACAGTAATTCGTTTAATCTTGAGACGGAAAAATTGCGATGCTTTTGTAAATTGATTTTGTGGGAGAAGAATTGATTGTTTTGGGGGACGTAAATGATGGAAACTTTCTAGAATTGACTTCTACTTATTAAAAGAGAGGAGATCTAGGAGTGCGACATAATATAATGGCTGCTTTTTAAGTTTGAACAACCTCATACATGGTAATTGGTAATTTAAGACCATACAAATTAGTCAAAAATTAAATTCAAATTTATAATTTAAAGTTTTGCATTGTAAACAATTTTTAAACTTTTTAACCCATTTTCAATCATTTAGTCCCCTCAAAATAAACAAATCTTTTCCAGCTAATAAGTGAATTGCCATAAAATTTGTCATCATCTCCAGAAATGTCTTGCCGAATTTTTAAGTTCAATTTTTTTTTTATTTTTCTTACTTTATAAAGTTTTTTCTAATTTTGAAATTTGATTGTTTTTTAACTTGTCATTAATTTTTTCAAACTTGATGAAATTTTAAATGTTCTTAAAAATTCTAAATATCCAAAATTTGAAAAAATTCAACAAAACATTTCTCAGAAGACAGACATTTCCATTGCTTTGGACGGGCGTCATTAATTTTTTTTTTTTTTCATATTTGTATGCTAAATTTTCGCGATTAATTTTCTGATTGATTAGTTTTATCTTCATCTTCATGTATCGTGCAATTAATGTTTTTGCTTTGTTCAAGAATTTTTAAAAAATTTTCAAATGATTTTCTATCTACGATTTTTTAATTTTATTTTATTCATCCTTAGTTTGAAATTTCCTAATGAGCTAAAAATCTCTTTTTAATGTTAATAACTAGAAAAATTCGAAAATTTTTGTTATTAATGAAAAAAATTGTTTTTTAAATATTTTACATAATTTTGGGAAATGTAAAATTTTGACTAGATTCTCATATTAAATAATTGTTTTTTAAATTTATTTATAGTCAACAAAAAACGAAAAAAGTTTTTAAAAATCTTCCTTACGGTCTATGAGTTTCTGTATTTAAAGTTTGAAATCACAATGATTACCAAAATCACTATAATTGTTCATATTTTTATTAATAATTATTATTATCATGAGTGCGTGTCTCTTGAATGCTTAATGACTTTTTTTTATTAAGATAATTAAAATTAACATTGTTTTGGAGAAGAAAAAACATGCTTAGGACGAATAATTACTTTGGATCATGAATCTTTACAAGAATCACAAGTTAAAAACTTTTTTTAATTAATTAATTTTTTTTGAGTATTCTTAATGATGTTTAATTATGTAGGAAGAACTAATTAATTATTTATGCATATTTCTTTGACATTTTTTTAAATTTTACTTTGGATTCGAATTTCTACTTTGTTTTGGACGAAAAATCTGATATTGAGTTTGATCGTCGTTTTGTGAGTTGTTTTATAAATCTTCGGTCTAATGAGAGTGTTTTATCCTGCAATAGAAATTGAGAATAAATTATGTTAATTGAGATTGATGGTTTGGGTTATTCTGCAGATTGAGGCATGATTATGGTGGAAGCTTATTTGAATAACAGATTTGGCTTGCTGTATCTAAATACGTCGAAAAAAAAATCGACTAAAATGCTTCACTTTAACATTTCAGCAATAATTTTAACCAAATGTTTAAAATTATTTTCACATAATACGCACATGTTTCAATTGTTTTCATATAATGCGCACATGTTCCATTCGTACTATCTGAAAATAAACATAATTATAGGATCCCCAATTTTTACTGCATCTTGAATTTGACAACCCAATAAAATAATTCTAAATGATATAAACTCTAACCCCTAATCTAAACCCCCAATATTATGTGTATACACTCATCAATTCTCAATAACTTCCAATCATTTCCACCATAAAATCCAATCAACAGCCTCCATCTCCCGAATAAAAAAATCTTACATTTTCCTTACTACTATTATTCAGTAAACTTGATTGCCCACTGTGAATTGATGATGAATCATCTCCGCTACTATAATTATTATGCTCTTTTAATGTTGTCGTTGGCTGTAATTTTCCTTTGCTTGCAAAATTATCAGAATTTCTTCTCAACAATTTGAATCTTAATGATGATGGTGTGTGGTGTGGTGCGTGGATGGATGTGAATGCATTTTTTTTTCAATATACAACAATGAGGAAAGAGAAATATGAAATGAAATGTGAGATTTTTCTCTTCGTTTTTCGAATTGAATAATAATGAATTTTATAATGAGATGAAAATGAAATTTACAATCTATTAGCTTTATTGGATGTTGCCATTTGACTTGATGATTCACTATCACTGCTTTGAAACTGTTGAGTCATGCAATAGATTTTTTCTCGCCTCGCTAATTTTTCCAGATCCGATAGTACTGTCTTTTCGTCTGCAAAAGATATGAATGGCAAGGAAATTGTGTTATTATTAGATTTTAATAAATGTTGTATCTTATTGAAGGATTGTGTCTAGATTAGCTTATGATCCCTCGCTCCTTACATATAGAGTTTATAGTTGGCTAATCATGACGATTTTTGTCAACGACAGCCTATTATTAAACCTAGTGATCAAAAATCTTGACTGTTGATGTATTTTTGGATCCATTAATCGTTTACTGATTGCAAGTACCAACTATGTTCCTTCCTAATATCTACTAAAGGCCCTTCCCTTCGGCTGATTCTATGACCCACTCCCCAAACAACTCCTCACCTTTTTGCACAAACCCAGAACTGTTCCAAATACGTTGTTTTGCCTTGCGATTTAGTATAGGTGTGTCCATTTTCGAATTCTTTTGTTGAGAGTAAGAGCTCAGTGGGTCGTTCCTCTTTTCGTTTTGGCTGAACGTCCTCGACGGTTGGGGTGAAGTATCCCTGCGATCCATTATCCGATTCATTATTATATCCCTGCCACTCATTCTGTGGTATGAAGAGAGGTCTCGACCGACTAGAAATGTTGCTACATTTGGTCCCGGTATGTAACTCACTAGATCCTCGTCCCCCAAAATGTCGTTGTTCATCGCTAATCGCATCTCGAGCGATCGGGACGTTCGAAGGGCTTGTATTTGATTTGGCATTGTTGTTGGCGTTGTTTGATCCACAACATGATCGTGTTGAGCTGCTTCGGCAGTTCCTGTATGATTTCGATAGTCTTTCTTTTCGGTCTGTGAGAATAGGGCACACGCACCTACAAGAATTTTTGATAAGATGTAATTATGGAAGGATGAGAGAGAAAAGAAATAAAGAAATGGAGGGAAAAGTTAGCGACTAATTCCAAGCATGTCCGTGAATTTAATTTATGGAACGTAAAAAGTGCCATAAATCATACACAATGCAGAATATACAATATATATAAAAAGTGTGAAGACGAAGAGAGAGAAAGATAGAGAAGCAAAGAGAAAAAAGATTTATGATTTTTTACCAGATTTGTCAGCAACACTGCCAAAAGTTTCCACTGATGAGAAGAAATGAAGGGAAATTTTGATTCATAAATCCAATGGATCCAACACAATAAATGAGACATAAATGAAAAATTGAAATATTTTATCTCATACCCGGTGTCGTAGTCTTGAGTGTTTCGTCTTCGCTCATCATCGCCACATCCATCCCGTCCAGTTCCAAATCCTCCAGAGGTGACATCACATCCTGTTGTGCTAATCTCGTCGTCGGTGACATCATCTCTTCCTCCATATTCATAATCTCCTCGTCGTCGATTGATGGCGTTGGATCTGAATCGATTGAAGTATGCGAACTTGGATATTTTTCGATATTTTTTTCGGCTCTTTCCCCCTGCCGATAGAATTAAAATAAGACTTTACCACTAAACTATTTAAACGATAACTGGCATGCGAACTTAAGTACGGAAAGGATAAAGAAGATTTCGTACTGGTTCTCAACAAAAATATATTTTTTTATTCTATTGGCATTAGCAAAAAACTGTATAAAAATCAACTCTATTTTTTTGTTATTAACGATTTTATGATAATTTCTAAAATAACACATCTAGATTTGATTAAAACGCTATTTGTCGGACTAATCAAAAAATGTTAAAAATAAGTCAAACAAGTTAACATGTTCACCACAGGGGGTGAATGGCAAAGGCGCATTTTTGCAGTAAGCGATCAGTCGTGGTTTGGTAATTGATTGGGTGAGTTTTCGAGGTATGTTAAGATTTTATAGACAATTACGGTTAATAGTTCCAAGATCAATAACAAAAACGAGATGAAAACATGAGATTTCACCTTCCCCCCCCCCCCCCCTTGTTACAATATGTTACAATTCACAACCCCCCCCCCCCCTGAACGTTCATAATTTATTTTATTTTGATAATTTTTTTATAGGTTCTTATTAAGAACATTTAAATGTTCATTAAAAAGGTGGAAAATTTAAAAAAAAATGTTTTTGGTGTGAATTTGTAAACAAATTTTTTTCGTGAACTTTTTTTTAAAAGACAGACGACAGTTAGAACGTTACATACTTCTTGACACCCCCCCCCCCCCCCCCCCTATGTTACAATTTTTCAAAAAACCCTCCCCCCTAAAATGTGAACGTAATAAGTGAACGGCCCCTAAATGGTTGCGGTGTCTTGGTTTTGAGGAAGGAATCCAAGTTTTTAAGGGGTATCCTGGTTTTCAACAGGGACTCAGGTTTTGAAGAGATAATTTAATTTTAAGAAGTTTTTTTGGAGGCAGTACCCAGGTTTGGAGGGATACTCTGATTTGAAAGAGTACCCAGGTTTGGAAGGGTATCCAAGTTTGAAGAGGTACCCAAGTTTGGAGGGGTACTCAGGTTTGAATGGGTACCCAGGTTTGAAGGGGGTACCCAGGTTTATAGTGTGGAGTTAATGGGTACTCCGGTTTGAAAGAGGTAAACAGGTTTGAAGTATTTAAGAGTAGAGTCTAGTTTTGAGTAGATTTCTCTAATTACAAAATGTTTCAACATTTTATTATGATGGCCATAATTTCAAAACAGTACCCTGATCAGCTAATCTGGTGTTCAGGATTCGAGGAAATTCCAATTTGTCTTGTGAAATACTCAAGTTTTGATGGAATTTTCTCAATTATAGGAAACATTCAAATAGTAAAGATTCAGAAAAATTTCAGACTAATCTATCAGAGTGGTCTACATCAACATAGTTACTAAATCCTATAAGAACCTCAACTCAATTCAAAGAGATCACCAAACATAATGTGATCCAAAAACACGCACAATCAAAAACCAAATAGTGAATATGCAAGCATAATATTCGTCTATGCAAAAATGAGCTGAATAAAAACGTTTTATACAGCATCTATGCTATGCTAATAAAAATTACCCTACCTCTTTATTGTTCAATAAACTATTTTCGTTATTCGAATCGCAACTATCTGTATCTTCTTCAAACAACGGTTCTAGTCTTCTCCTAATTATTTTATAAAAATCAATTAATTAAAATAATGGAATTGAAGAAACATTAGAGGACTATGTCTACATTTAAGGAACTAAGTTAACATTAGTAAATTATCAATATTTCTAGTAAATAGCTATAAAGTAAGTAAACTCAAAGACGTTACCTAGGCAATAGACCTCGAATATTACTAGCCGTCATCATTGGTGCCATAAGAAGTTCGTCCATCATAATTTCAGTATCTTCGTCACCCGATGACGATTTGGGGGACTTGAAAGTGAAGTGGAGAGAATTAACATAGGATGTAAGCGCGGAGTCAGAATGAATGAATGTTATGTAATTTTTTTATGGTATGGATGCACTAATGAATTTTTTTTATGTTTCTACTTATGTTTCTTTACCGTTTGATTACCATCGTCGCCATTATTGAACATGTGCATTTCATCATTTTCACCTCCACTTGTCGGTGTACCCCAAACTTCTTCACCAGACGTCATCTCCCCTTCAACTGTCTCATATTCATCAAAATCATTATTTGGATCTTTTGAGTCGTTTTTAAGATACACATAGTCGGAATATCCATCAGTACGACCCAAATATTTATCAATAAATGCTTTTGACTCTTCCAGAAATGATCCAGCACGTGATGTCCATGTACGATAGGATTGCGTTGAACTTTCACCACTTAAGTCTTTAATTAATGTCGTAGAAACTTTTATGTCCTCAATTGAATCATCGTCAGATGAATTGAGAGTCTTTTCATCCGTATCCTCTGATGGTAATCTTTCTAAACTTGACATTGTGCCAAAACGACGTAAACTTGTCTTAAGTTTCACATATGGTGGCTCCTCCTCCTCATCCTCAACTGAATCGAAGCTGCTCTCAGTTTTTATACTAATACTGTTTACTTTTGTTATCTCTAAATCTTTCGTCAGATTAAACTGATTATTGTGTTGATTCTTGGGATCGGGAGTGGGTGGGAGCACTGATATTGCTGGGATACAATTGGTTGTGATGGGATTTGATTGTGCTAAGTTAATTAACATCAATGGGATATTAACATTTCCATTACCGCCATCGATTTCATCTTCTTCCTCATCCTCATCATCATCGTCCTCGTCGTCGTCAATATTTTTTAGCATCATCATAGCCGTAATGTCATTAATATTTGTTATTGTTGTATTTGTCGATGCCGTTGATGTTACAGTCTTATTTTCCTGTTGTTGTTGTTGCTGCTGCTGCTGTTCTATTGTTGTTGTCTTATCATTCGTCGTCGCATTATCTTGTTGAGCACCAATCATTGTTTCTTTAATTATGTTTAATGGCTGATTTTTAGCTGCTGCTGTCATATGATTATTGTTATATAAAAAGCTATATTTACTAAGTAAAGTCTTTGCACGTATGCTCGAGTATGTTAGGTATGGTGAGTCACTTGACCGTGAACTCGCTGAATCGGTGAGGGACATTCGATTTGTTATTTGATCAACATCTTTTAGAATTTTTACGATCTCATACTTTACTTCATCCGGACTGATTGTTGTTTTCTCGAAATCTTTCGCTTTGCATTCACATTTACATAGTCCATTGGCCACATTCTCTATTTTATTTTTCGTCGAGATGCAGACATTTTTTCGATTTCCTGATTTTTTACTTGGCGATGTCTGTAAAGCAGATGGAGATGACTGTGATGTCTTAAGTATAGCTTCTGGTATCTCAGGTGTGGGACAATTTTTTATCGTCACCATTGTCTGTGATGCTCTCATCTCCTTGACATCATCCGTTGACGTATCATTATCTGTCATCTCCTCCTTGATTGTTGTGCTACTTGAATCACATGTTGAATCACGTTTAGATTGATTTAATTGATTGTTATTATTGTCGTTCATTGATGATGACGCTCGCATTTTCTTCTTACAGAATTTGTGGCATTGTCGACATATGGACATGCTATCACTTCTGCTATTATTGTTATTTATTGGACTTGATCGGACTGTTATCTGGAATTTTTTTAATTATCTGGTATTAGATAATGCAATGTGGGGTGGAAGTATGAATATTATTGTGTGGCTTCAAGGTGTGGGGAAATTGAGATTTTAATTAAAAAAAAAAAAAAAAACCTTTACCTATTCAGATCAATTGTGATCCAGAGGTGCGCTAGGGCGATTCGCAGCTAATGTGAGTTTAACGAGTAAGGATGCGCCAAATCACTGCACTCAAACCTAGACCTACAATTTATAGTGGAATCCGAACCACTCCTTTGATGACATTTCTGTCTGTAGCCTACAAAGGAAGGCTGTGAGCCTCATTTCCAGTACATATGATTCGAAAAAGGACATGTGAAAAATTTCCCATACCCAGTCTCGAACCCATGATCGCTGTGTCGGTATTGCAATAATTAGGTCCCGAAGTACTAAACCATTCCGCCACCGAGCCACTTCAGCTCAACTGAGATTTTAATTATTTTTGATTAAATTGAGTGTGCTATACTTTGAGATGTAATCAGGACTACTTGGTCATGTCTAAAACAGTGCTGTTGACTTGGATGTCTGGATAGAGCTGAATCGGGTCTTGGCTTTTGGAGCAACAACACCATACTAAGATTTCCCCAGCTTTCTAGCCCAATAGCTACTCTAGAGAAGTTTAAAAGCTTTATAGAAATGAATTATAAAATAACTATGATGCTCATGTCCTAAATTTATATCCAGATGTCCTCAAGCTTAGTCTAATCCAAACAAACGCCAAGGCAACACCACTGCTCCCAATAAATTGTATACTTCTTACTTCTAGTACTAATTTTTATTATTTCCAATTAGAAATTATAATCAGCAATCAAACTGACCATAATTCCTACATAAATCCTCTATTCCTTACTCTACATGACACCTATCTAACTCGATAGAAGCCATGAAACCACACAGGGCACATCCAATAAAAATATAAATCATCCTCAACACCAAGATTTACTACAACTTACTTGACTATCTGATGTACTCTTTGACGTACTTTGTTGCTCATCCTCACTTGGATTCTCATCAATCTTCTTTATCTCGTGCATCAATCTCAATTCCTTTGATCTTTTCTCAACTTCCTCAGCGCTCCAATCTTGATTTGCTTCGTCGTCATCAAATTCTGGTATTCTTTCGTTGTGGCTGAACTGCCCCTTTATCCACTTCGCTAAATGAACCGAGCCTTCTTTCGATACGCCACTCTTACTCAACATACTACATTTTTCATCAATGAAATTCTCCAAATGTCTCGTTATTTTCGGTGATTCTGACCTTTCTTCTTTCAAATCCTGTAGCTGTTCAAATTTTAATGAGTTACTGTTGTTATTTCGGTCCTGTTTCGTCTAAAATTAAAATGTTTCTTTAAATCATTAAAGTCATCATGAATCATGTAAAAGCCCACCTGTTGATTGCTATTTTGCTGCTGATGATGTCGTTGATGTTGTTGTTGTTGCTGCTGCTGTAAATTTTGTTGTTGTTGAATATTAAAACTTTCGATAGAGCACATTTTACTACTGGAAGCGCCCATCGAACGAGCACCTAAATTTACATCATTTATATTTAAATGAGAAACCATTACGTCGGGTGACTCTAAAGGGCTGTTAAGTGATGAGCCTAATGTACTATTAACAATGAATATTTGACGTGTTAACAAATTTTGCCAAACAGCCTTCAGTTCTATAGACGGTGAACGGAGGATTATTGTGCGCCTTTTAACACTTTTTAAAGGAGTTCTTGATAAATCCGGTGTGCAATTAACGTTTGGACTTTTTGCTGCCTGTCCACTGGGATCAATTATGAGACGAAATTCATTAGCTGTGGATTAGAAATTCAATTAAGACTCAGTACTGATTTTTCATATGCTTTAATTGCTAATGCCTCAAAAATCTGAGACTTTTTATGGCAAACACCATAAAACTATTTGTTCAAATGTCATCATATCCAATTAATTACTACAGGATCCCAAAAATAGAATTACAAGCATTTTTTATGTTCATAAAATATTTATAGGACAAACTTTTTTACATTGCCAAGTTTCAATTTTGGTAGCAAATTAAAAAACTTTGACAATTTTGGTATGAAATTTTTTGTCTACCCACTTTTAGACTTATTATCCTACATAAAAATTAATTAGCGGAGGCATTAGCATTAGTTTTGAGCAGTCCATTGGCATAGATTACCTGAATAGTAACTAGAAGCTGGTAGCTAGTAGCTAGCAGCTATTAACTGGTAGCTAGTATATTGTATCTAGTACTTGGTATCTAGTACCTAGTATATAGTACCTAGTATCTAGTACCTAGTATCTAGTACCTAGTATCTAGTATCTAATATCTAGTACCTAGTACCTAGTATCTAGTACCTAGTATCTAGTACCTTGTATCTAGTATCTAGTACCTAGTACCTAGTACCTAGTACCTAGTACCTAGTACCTAGTAGCTAGTACCTAGTAGCTAGTAACTAGTATCTAGCAGAATACATCATGCCTATGTTTACAACCCCTCCCACCAAAGTGCTGCCCAGCACAAACAAACAAATAATCAATGTCTATACTCACTCTTTTTCTTAACATTAAAAATACAATCGACAATATTTGTTAAAGGCAAAGGCTCATCAGTAATAAATAAAACACGATCACGGCTAACTTTTGCAAATAAAATAATATCGCTAAAGAGCAATGTCCAGAATTGCTTAATTGAACGTCCATCGATTCTTGATAAATCTCCACCAAATATCCACTGTCTACCAGGAATTGCTAATGTGAATGGTTTGCATTTTGTAAAAACGAGTCGTGACTCCAAATCTTGAAGTGACAAAAGCGGTCGACCTTCTCCTACAGGTTCCATCAATCCACTGACAGTTATCTCACGATATGCTGCTTGCAGCTCATTAATGACATTTGTAAAATTCTTATTCTCATCACTATCACCAGGACAGTTGGACGAAATAAGTTGCAGTAATTTTAAAATATCGCGAAAATGTTGGAGTGGTCGATGAATAAATGTTGTAATGTCTGGCCGTTTCTTGGGTACCGGGGGTTCATTAAGGAATGTTATAAATTCACTATTACATGTTCGTGATTTGTTAACCTAATCAGAAAATTACATGAAAATTTATTCAAATTGTTATAAGCACTGTGAGGACTTTTTTTAAAGGGGATGGTATTCATTGGGGATCGATTTGTTGTGACGTCAAGAGCTTTGTGTGTGTGGGGTGTGTCTGAAGTTTGTATGAGATGTGGTTGGGTTAAAATGAAAAAAGAACTTGATATTTTCAACAATTTTGAGGTGGAAGGGGGATTTGAATATAAAAATACATTTTATGTCTGTGACGTCATTCGTAGATGGTCCCTATGGGTGTAATGGCTAGTTGTAATTTGAATAATCCGAGTGAGTTCAGTATTGAATTTGAATTTACACATAATTCTAGATCAGTGATTTTTCGAATAGATTTGCATGTGCTTTAAATCAATGTGGGGGCTATTCATAAGTGACGTCATTCAAAGTATTGATTTTTAAGCTCGTGTCTACATTTTGCTTTTTAATCTTCGTAGCATTGATTATTAAACTATCAAAGAGCTTCAGACACTAGCTATGCTTATTAATTCTATACGTCATTTATAAATGATCCCAATCTGAACATTTATCACTACTAAGCTTCACATTCCCATAGCCCATTAATAACAATACTCACCAATACACAGTCAGCACGTTTAAGTCCACTACAATATCTCTTGTAAGCTGCACATAACGCCAAAGATTTCGACAAATAGACACGCGATGCAAAATGCATTTGCGGATCATGGTCATTCTGTAGAATTTGCTCGAGTATATCTTCCGATAATTGCATTAATTCATCAATATTTTGAAACAGTGTCCGATGATCACTAATTGATATTAAATCTTTTCTATCACGAAGCGGATGAACGAAACGTTCTAAGCCAAAATTTATAGCACTAACAAAATGTTGTTCACGATTCATTAATTGAATGAGATAGCGTTTCCTTAGGCTCTCTGGATTTTGATTTGTTGTGGTAATTGACTGCGGATGAAAAGGTATGAGATGAATAATTAATTAATTAATTTATATATTTTCGCCATAATCCCTAACCTCTTTACTAGTTGCACCAGTCACTTGCGGTAATCTTAATCGACGTTTGGTTATCTCGAGTGAAACATTAGAATTAGTAACAGCTACTGTTGTTGTCGAAGGTGGTATAACAATGGTTTTGGTGATGTTTGATGGCTTAACTGAGTTCTCATCGTCTGTTGACATGTCTTGATTGAATGACATTCTCCCTGAAACAAGCTTCGGTGAGAAAACTTTTGATTTTGTGCTGCCTGTCCGTGTGTGTCTTCGGAATATTTCTAATGTTAGTGTGTTGCCTTGTATACGTATTAGGTTCAGAATATCGAGCTCTGTAATTACACGGGAAAGAGAAAGAAGAATGAATTGATGATTCAATAGATAAGTGGGGAAATAGTGGATTAAGGTTAATTAATGGGAGGGAGTTTGTAGCGCATTTTTCCTACTATGTAAGGAATATTGTGAATTGATCATGAATTATTAAAGTAATTTAATGTTTTCTTGATAAATGCGAAAGTAGATCAAAGACGATATGAAGGTGCATTATTTATTGTCTGACAGCAATTGAAAGATAGCAAGCTTTGAGGGCATTAAAGGATAATTAAAGGTTTTTGATTGAAGATCTAGGTTAAGTCTTTGTTGAAATGATTAATAAATTGCCAGGATTGTAATATTTTATTGCTCTTTAAGCACTGTTAAATCGTGTTGAGAATGCAACACCACCAAACTATAAAGCAACTCAGGTGCTGCTCTAATTCCAATTTTTTTTAAATCAAAGCTTTCAAAAAGAGAAAACTATAATGAATTTATTTAAACTAAATGTCGTCTGCGATGAACCCAATCAAAATGTTTATGACACTTGAACTCAGTCTCAACAATGACAAACATAAAAGCTTCAAAATATGCAAAGTCATTCAAATTAAACCTAAAAGTCTTTTTTTTTCATTTATACAGCCAAGTCAAGCACAATTTGATCACATACAGCAGTAGCTTTTCAATTCATTTCTAGGAAAAATGCGTAAACGATCATCTATAACCTACCTGGCATTGTAACAACGTTGTATTTGTCGATAAAAATAATATAGTCACTCGGAAGCATGCCAACCTTCTCAGCTGCTGAATTAGATTCAATTTTCTCAACACGTGGCGGATGGGTCCAAACAATTGAAAATCCATAGCTACACTCTGGATTCTTAACTAGCTTTTTTGTTATCGTAAAAGGCGTTCGTCCCTTTGTAAACACTTTCGGTGTGTCTGTCGGCACCGGCGGATCGAGCTCGAGAAAACGTAGAAATAAATTTTCATCTGCATCGCATTGATTCTGTGCCTTTTTACTGAATGCGACTTCATTACTATTTATTACTTTATCACTATTTGAATCAAATGACTTTATTATCTCATTTGTGTCGACGCTGCTGCTATTTCCAAACATTTTTTCTTGTGTCTTTTGCTTTGCCTTTGTGTGGCACTTTTCTATCCTTTTAAAAAAACTTTCTATTTTCTCTCTTTTTTTGGGGGGGGGGGGGGCTTGCTGATTCTCACAGAAGAAAAGGATGCAAAAAAAAATAATTCGGAAAAGAAAAAAGTTTTTTGTCTTTTTATATTCTTGAAGATTTAATCAATTCAATCCAAACTGTGTTGCACATAAAAATGTTGATTTTTCTCATTCCTTCTGCTTCCATTTATCTGCAATAATATCATTATTAAAATAAATTTCTTTATTATAATATAGAGAAAGACTAAACTAAATAAATTTGAATAGTGGGGGCTATTTGTAAGTGATGTCTATCGGAAACTTGGATTTTTAAGAACATCCCAAGTAATAAATGCAAGTTATTATATTGTATCGAAGTGTCATGCTGCATGCAGACCCCCTCCAACACAAGAATGATGCAGTTTTGTTTCTTTATGTCATGGAAAAAGGTTTGGATGCTCTTTATGTGATCCTGGAAAGGAGAAGCTTAAAACTACAATTTCTTAATAGACATCACATACAAACTAACCCCCCTCCCCCTTTATACTATTCAAATTAATTTGTTTAGTGCCTTTAAGTATGTCGAAGGTCATGAAAAAATATATTTCATCTCGTAAATTCTTAATTCTTATCTTGCCTCTCAGAGGAATCGCTCGTAAAAGTATTTTGTGTAAAGAGCAACAATATATACAACACAAAATGAAGGGGTTGGAAGAAATTTACAGTTTGCTGTTATGACAAATTAATATCATAAGGCTATGTGGCGTTGGAATAAGGGATTCTATGGAGTATGGAAGGGGATAATGAATAGGTTGGAGAGTGATTTGTAGATGTTGCATTAATTTTTATCGTTGATTGTGTATTTTATGGGGATTTTATTCATAAGGATTGCTGCATTTTTGGCTGTTTTGTTCTTGAAAATTGTCGCATTAAAGGATATTCAAGCAGTTATGCTGGTTTTTGTGATTATTGTGTTGGAACATTAAGAATTTTGGTTTGATTTTAATTAGCTTCACAGAACTAGTATTCTATTGGAACTAGACATAAATAGACATTATTTGCACTAGCTTCACACATTTCAATTCATTCGACACTGTTGACGAGTCAAATAATCTATTTTAGGACGTAAAAATCACCTCAAACATTAAATCACACAATAACATTCAGTGTCATGTGCTGCACACTAGTAAATCCATGCGTGTTCCAAATTAACTTTCCACAATAATTTATTATCTTTTATTCACATTTAAAAACAACCCTGCTGCCTCATTTTCATACCCACAACAAGAACACAGATAAGAACTTTAGAAAACACAATATTTTCCCAATCAACATTTGAAAAAACAAAAAACTTTTTATTTTTATTCCTTTACGATGCCTTATCAAAAATCACAAAATTAATGAACCATTTTCACGTAAAACTTTTCATTTTCAGCATGTAAATTTTTCCAAAAACACTTCAAATATAAAAAAACAATTTAAATGAAGCCTTTTCCTCATTAATTTTTTTTTTGTATTTTGAAATCGAGTTCAACCTTTCACGAAATAAATGCTTGAGCCTCCAAAACTGACTGAATTAAAAAGCACAAGTCCTTGAATCCTCCCCAACTCAGAATAATAATAAAAAAAAAAACATTTGTCATTTTATGTGTTTTTTTTTGATAATATTATATATGGGATGAGTTCATAAATGACGTCAGGATTATTGGGGATGAGGGAAAGTAAGGGGGTGCTGTAGGCATGTAACAAGGACTTGGGGGTGAGTCAGGCATTTTTCGAATGGTTTATATGGCTTGTCCAGAGCAGGAAGGGTGGGGGAGGTGGTAGGTCAACCCTGTCTGCACTCCCAAACTCCCTTCACCAATAATCCAAAGACCGAATAAAATTCTAATTATACCTATGACGTCGCTCATAATCAACCCCTCCTCAAGTACAAATAAAACAAAATTATTAAAGTCAGTAAAAAAAATCACCTGATCAATTTGGAAAATTAGTGAAATTGACATTATTATTTGACAGACTAGGGTATTATTTTATTATTATCATACGGGAGCACATAAATGAATATATGTTATAATAATACAATGTTCATTTACAAAATGTGACCTACATACGGGAATGAAGGAGGGGTGGAAATATCCTTTTATACATACATACAGTCTATGTAGATAGAGGCAGATACTGGAACTTAAAATCCTCGTGGAATAGAAAAGGAAAGGAAAAATTCCCTTGGAATAAATTTCAGTTTTGTAAATTTTTTGTTGACTAATGAAGATATTTTTACTTGATTGGGGATATGACTTTCTTGAGACTTATTTTTTTTTCTTGTGATACTCAATTTATTTATGCTGACTCAGATTTTATGACTTGATATCTCTTATTTTGTCGCTATGATTAATATGCATATTGGAAGGGGACACTGAATATTTTGAAGATTAATGTTTTAATATTGGAAGAGATTTTTCAAATTTAGTAAAGGTTTGAATCTTAATTTAGGAATTCTCAGTTCTTGATGTTGAAGGAGATTGAATTTTGCAATTGTTTAGACTGAATTCTTCAATGCTGCATCTCTGAACACACTTTGTAGTCAAAAAGTAGGCGCACAATGAATTAAGATAGCTTATACTACGAATGGGTACCCAAATCTGACTAAGCGTTCCATGGGATTGAAGGAAGTTCTTAAATGGACTAAGTTAATGCAATAACTTTAATGAAATCATTGATAATTCATTACTTAAACGGTTTTTAAGGCAGGAAATAGCTTTTATAGCGAAATAGCTAAGGATTTATGGGTGTTATTAAGTACAGGGTCTAGCAAGGAAGTTCCAGCTTTCATCAAAGTTTGCTAGTGTTTTTTTTTGTGTTGTAAAATGCACCCCAGATCAGGTACAAGGATAGATTTATGAAGATTTATAGAGAATACGGAGAGGAAGTCTTACTTTAAGATGTCAGAAACTAAAGGTCATCAACTAATCATTTATCGCTTATATTTCAACAGAGCTCGAAGTAGATGAAATTTTGTATGAAATCGAGTCGATTCCGCCATAGAAAATCGATGAAAATCTCGAGTTGACTTCGAGCTCTATTTTCAGTCAATATTAAAACTCACTGATTCTCAAAATTAAAATGGTGACACTTCACGAGTTGCCTCGATTCTAATTCTAAACAGTAAATTCAGTTTCAAGATTGGAAATCTACATAATTTGCCTGATAAATATCTGGTTTTAAGGATTTCTAATCACATGTGATGTCATTAGTCACCTATACAATCAAATAACCAGACAAATTGTCTGACTGGATTTAAATGAAGATCTTGATTCTAAATGTTTATTAAGAAGAGTTTATTCCTACAATCCTACAGCAAATTTCTGCCGAAATCCCCGCAATTTCCAAGAACGTAAAAAACACCACAGTGAAGGAAATGAGGAAGAAAAACTTTCAACTCAGCAAGATAAGACAGCAGTAACAGCAGCAAAAAAAAAGAATTTCAATCCGAGATTTTGAATTTTTCATGAATTTCTCCATTCTTTCCTTATTCATACTTTGATTTTCATAAATATTTGGTTATTTGCTGCTATCCTTTTGGAAGTTCTCTTATTCAATCCTTACGATATCTCAAGCACATCACATTGTGTGTACATGCTTTCTCACTTTCTCTCACTCTCTCATCTCGTGTAACATTTCACAACCATTTTTTTCCTCTCAAATAAATTTCTTATTTTTTTTTTCGTCGTCCTTGCCTTTTTTAAAATAAATTCGATAATTTAACACTGTACACATAAATTATTATTCTATGTCACTAATCGTCGTCTCACTTTCCTTCTTGTCTATTTATCTATCAATGATTTTTTATTTAAGAATGAAGAAGGAAGCAAAAAAAAATCAATTAACTTGGCGTCACAAAGATATTTTATAGTGATAGGTCGTTTAAGAGTATCTCCCAATAATTCGATGTTCCGTTTTAACCATAAAAAAATGAATGCTTTCAGTTATCGATTGCGAAAACACTTCACACTGCCTTTTTTTTCACTCTCATCGAACAAATATAGGAACGAGAAAAAAAAAGTTGTGCCTTTTTTTATGAGCTTTTGAAATTTTCCATTTGGGAAAAATGAATAAATTTTTTTTTGTTTTCGAAAATAGCTTTATGAGGCTTAACTAGTGACCTGTCTACAATACTTCATTACACAATCCATTTCACAAAATTCCTGTATCAAGTTTTTTTTCTTCTCTTTTCTTATTGTATAATCGGAGGAAATTGACTTTATCACAATTGAACTTAAATAGCTTAGTCTATATTTAGTTACACAATAAAAAGATTCACAAATAAAAAAAGTTCACAAAAATCAATTTTTTTTGTCCTTTTTTTTATCTTAGAAAATTTTTTTTTAAATTGAGATAAAATTATTTTCACTTTTGGACTGAAAAAAAAGTTTTGAGGAATGGACTTTTTCCCTTCTGTACATTCCTTTTCATGCTGACTGTGGATGAGAATATGAGGATTTTTTTTTTTCATTTTATTTTCCATTAATTGGAAAGGCTTTCGCGCGCGCATGTCATTTGGGAGCGTTTGGTGATGAAAACAATAATTTTGGAATGAAAGCACGAGTTTTTTCTGCCTTTTAGAAAGGGAATTGAGGAAATATAGTTGGAATGGCATTGGTGGATGGGGATTGTGGCGCATTTTCCCATGGTCCCTTAGGGATATTTTGTCAGAATTAATTTCTGTTGTCATGCTGAATTTTTTATTCATTATTTTCTTTTTTATCTGCTTTAATCTGCCTTAATCATGCATTGGCATCTATTAATGTAAGTTTTGACCACAAACAAGAGCGCATATCCATCATCCAAGAAGCATGACTAGAAATATCATTGAGTGGCTTCCTGTGAATGATAAAGCAAGCTTCTTTTAAGTTAAGAACTGACGCTTACATTGTCATCAACTTGTTTGGATATGCTCATTGTCTGTTCTACAATTCAGCTATCAATCTCTCATTATTCGATCTGGCAATCTCTCATTATTGGACTTAGTGATTCTGCATTAGACTAAGGTAGATTAATCAAGAAGGTTAATTCCGATTTTGATGCAAATTAGAATCAGTCCTTCACGAACTTTGCAGAATCAGACGATTCTTCTTTGCCTTTGAAACCATGTTTCTTTGTGGAGCTTAGGTAACAAAAGAAGGCTTTCAATCTGAAGGGAAGAGGGAAGAGGGATGCCCAGAAGACATGTGACAATCCTCAGAAATCTTTTTCGTTAAAAGACTCAAAACAAATTCAAAACTGTTCCTTCATCTCATAATAACATAATTTAATCAAATTTTAACTCCATTCCTGACAAATCCTCAACATCCCGTCGGAAGAACCAACAAAGATTTCAAAAAGAAAACAACATGCAAGCAATTTTTACATTTCCTCAATAAAATCATGCTAAATAAATCATCACAAATAAAACGTGTAAAAGAGAACCAAATGGAAACTCCATACAAAAGCGAGAATGCATGGATAAATCACACACAAGCTATAAATTTGTAGATTGTTGAATGCCATATAAATTTTTCATTGAGTTCCGTAAATTCAATAACCATCATGGCAAATGAAGAACAAAAGCATAGACTAGAGAATGGAAAGTCCTCATTTTCGTATCCAATTTAAAGTTCTATAAAAGTTTTATTTTGTCATGTCTTCTTATTGTACATTAATTATGTCACATTATTTACATTTTTATTGGCATTTCCTTTATACAAATATGAACATTCATTTAGTCCGTTTGTTGTGCTGGCTATGAGACAATAACTTCGTCGCTTTCATCACCACTTTCGTTGTCATTGCTATCGTTTAGTGATTTTATGCTGTTGGTACCATTTATGTCTCGTCGGTCTCTTCGGTCACGTGCTCGACGATTTTGGAACCAGATTTTTACGCGAACGCCTGGATTTTTTGGGAGAAGAATAAGGAGAAATTTTGAGGTTATTACATTGTAGATTTATGTTGTATTTTTTAAGGTTCAGGGTTGATGTGCTGTCAGCAGCCAGTGCTTGTTGACTGTCAACAGAAATTCAGTTAAATTAACAATTGCAACATTGATGCAATTTGACAGTTTTCACTTAACATAGCTTTTAAACAAGGGTGCGGAACTGATAAGATTAGACTTTGATCAGTTTTTGATCCTTTTTGGTCATGTTGATCAGTTCCACACCCTTGCTTTTGAATGTATTGAAAATTGTATCCTTCGAACAGGAATTAAACACAATGAATACAATGTAAATGCACAAAAACATAACATTGATCCATAACTTACCAGTTAATTCTAGTTTTTTGGCGAGGAAGTTGGCATCATCTGTACTCAAATACGTTGCATTTTTATAAGCTTTCTCTAGTTCATTAAGTTGATAAGGTGTGAATGGAATTCTAGGCAGTCTTGATGTTCTCTTAAGTGGTCCTTTTGAGGGTCCTGTAGATTAATAAAATAATATAGACGCTGATTAGTGATGGTAAATAAAATTGAACATAGGTGACTCATATTAGTCAATAGTAGAGCCATATTAGGAAGACTCTATTAACAATTGATATTGATTCCAACAAAAACTAGAAAGTAAGACAAAATTCCCAAAAACAGAACTAGATCAACCCCCCACCTCCATCCAAAATAATAACAATCTAGATTGCATTGAAAAAAATATATAATAATTTAAAATAAATATTGGAAAAATAATTCGGGTATTGTGTTAGACGAGTGTCAAGAGTCATGACATTGAAAGTGTGATTTTGAATTTATTGAACAAATTTTTTGTGTTTATTGCAAGCTTCACCATGAATATGCAGCTAAGGTAGCTATTCAAATACAATTATTATTATTATAACAATTTTCTTTTAGAAAAATTGATTTTAAGCTTGAACTTTTAATATATTCGGTGTGGATCACGTACAACTGTGAACATGCCGATTGATGTTCTGCATTTAAGATTCTGCATACTGCACATAAATTGTCATAGAATTGATGAATTTTGAATGAAATACACGAACATTTTCCCATCAATGCAGATAACCTCAATAATTGATGACAATTTTAGCTTTTATTCATAAAATATCAGCATTGAAATATTCCCCAAAATGATATTCAAATGGAATCGTTCCTTTAATGAAATATTAATAAGCTTTCTTATTCATTATTTTATAAATTATACACAATATTACTTTTGCTAGCTTTTTTATGATAAGTCTGGCAAGTTTGTAATCATTTTTGATGAAAAAACACGGAATTTATTTAGTTCTAACGTAGGAAGAATGTGATTGTGGTAGGATAGAAAAGAAATTATGGAAGTAATTTGAATTTATGGATAAGAAATAGTAAAATAGTCAGAATTGTTGGGACACTTGATTTGATTTGAATAGATTGAGTGCTGGGTTGTGGATTTTACTCGTTTTTGTGGATAAGTCTTGCCAGGAGACTAGCTAGGAGCATTGAGGTCCCAAAGCTAGTATACAACCAATGAATTTCTTAAATTTGACCTGATTTGTACTCAATTTAGACACACAAAGCTTATTTTGGTAGCCATCTAAATGCTGATCGGAGTATAAAGTGTAATATGGCTTATGTAGATGTGCAAGACCTAAGTGCTGTAGGTTAGATTAAGTAAATGCATTCATTAATCTTTTAGAATTGAGTGAAAAAGACGATTCAAAAGCTCAAGTACCATTCTTGGAAAATGGCATTTAACCCTAGCAGAAATGTAAGACTTAATTTAATTTAACGCCCATGACTCACACGCAAACCTGAGGAAGATAAATAATTAATTGAAAGTCACATACAAATTTGGATCGACCTTATAAAGGTGATTTCTGCGCGCTCTTGTGAAGTTTATGCCAAATGCCAAATTTAGAACAAAATTTTTTATGACGCAAAAAATTCTTTTTATGACGCAAAAAATTCTTTTTATGATGCAAAAAATTCTTTTTATGACGCAAACAATTCTTCTTATGACGCAAAAAATTTCTTATTTTGATGATTTTTCGTAGGGTTCGAACTTAAGCAGATTTGATCAAACATTTTACATGATAATTTGCTAGTAAATAGAAAGTTTATTATTTATTAACAGTAAGTTGTTTTAATAATAGCTAGTAAATTGCAAGTAGTAGAATAGAAAGACTAGCAATTTGCTAGCTAGTCTCGCTAGGGAAATATTATATAAATTTCAAAAACTCTACATTTTATATCCAATCGGTACATTAAACCCCCAAAAAGAACATAACAAAAAGTCCTTTCACCTTTCCTTTCATGACAATCCAAATTCCAATCCTTGACATTTTATTAACTGTAATGTGACTAATGACAAATTAGATAGTGAAAGTCAACCAGGAAAACAAGACCTTGAGTTAATAAATCCATTCATTTTCCTTTGTATTACTAATTTTTACAGTTTTGTTGATTTATGTGACTACATTTTAAGTCACTGAATTATCAGTATGGATTTTCTATTATTAGAAGAAGAACAAACACAAAATTGTCCTGAAAGGAATTTATGATTTTTTTTAGTATTTGGAGTAATTGGTTCTGTTTTGTGTTAAAGAATTATTGAAGTTGGAGTGGGAATGTGATGGATTGGATGGAGTTGTTTGGAGGACTTTGGTATTGAGTATTGGGATTGGTAAAATATTATAATCAATAGAGCTCATTAAGGACGTTAGACTTGCTAGGTATTGAAGAGTTAAATAACTTTTCAATCAACAATAAGTATCAGTTTTACAAGTATCGAATCTGAACAAGCTATGAACCCAACAGCAAAGACAACTTAATTTCTCTTTTTCATGTATTCTATCCACTAACAACACCTCATTTGTCATCAAACTTCCCGTCGCATGTACACAATTTTCATTTTTCATATTCTCATTCACTTCCGTAACTTTGCATGTTCAATTATTCCATTACAATTTATTTAAATATCCATAAAAGCTACACATAAATAATAATTTATAATTAAAACCTTACTTGGTAATCGGGGCATGTTGTATCGCGTGTAGTTAAGCCAATTAAAAGTTGGAATTTCAATGAACTTTTGTCCATTTATAAATAAATTTTCATAGCACTTCTTATCACTGTTATCACAAATGTCTTCATCGCCACTTGACGACGATGTTAAAGCTTCATATTTATTATAATTTTTGCACTTTTTAAACCGATCACCGGCGTGATTAAGGATGTGATCGATTGAAAAATTTGTTGTG